TGAGCAGCTGGTCCTGTGGTGTAGCCGCAACAACCTGGAGCTGAACACGCTCAAAACAGTGGAGATGACAGTGGACTTCAGGAAGAACCCTCCCACCTTAGCCCCCCTCACCATACTTGGCAGCACTGTATCAGCAGTAAAGTCCTACAAGTTCCTGGGCTCCACTATCTCCCAGGACCTGAAGTGAACGTCCAAAGGAGGGCAGAGAGGATCACTGCAGACCCCTCACACCCTGGACACAATCTGTTTGAACTCCTTCCCTTTGGACAGCGTTACAGGTCAGTGTGCACCAAGATAACCAGGAACAGAGACAGTTTCTTCCCCCAGGCTGTCGCTCTGATGAACACTTAACCAGTGACAGTATGATTGGACAATAACCCTCAGTACAATACCTGTAAATATGCCTCGTACAGATTATACAGAGTCGTACAGGTCTCTAGTTCTTAAGTATTCTGTTTTATCCCTATTTATCTCATTTCAACGAATATTCCTTGTTGTCTGCATTGTTTACTGTCTGTTAATACTGCTTATTCTGCATTGCTTGCACTGTTTGTTGCTCTTAAAACTGCTTATTTTGTTATATTACACAGCCTTATGCAGGGTTACTGTTTGCACATTGAGAGCCGATGTACCAAAGTCAAATTCCTTGTGTGTCCATCACAACTGGCCAATAAAGCAGATTCTGATTCTGATCATTTTCTAGCTTCTAATTTCAGATGGATGAAAGCAGAACATTTCCACTGAGTCTGCCTGATAAGATAACTTTTTGAAAATAAGTTCTCAGCTTTTTTCAAACTTGCCTTGGAGAAGCAGAGCAGTCTCAGGGTTTCATTTCAGCATTCCTGGTTCTGCCACCCCCACAGTGTGGAATCAGGGAGGAGGACAAGGAGGAGGATGTTTGTCCTGCTTTGCCTGCCATCATTAGAAACACTGACCAAGCCAGTAGGGTGGGAGCCGCTCAGAGGCACAAAGGAATGCACCAGTATATCTTCAAAGATGACGGGGTGGGGGTGAATGTGGGATACAACAGTGGAAAATGAAAAAAAAAGATGCTATTTGAAAAGCGGGGGGGTTGGTTTTTTATTTCGTTTTCTCTGATAGAATTTATAATTATGTTTAGTTTTGTTTTTTAGAGAGCAGTTATTATTGGTAAAATATATTCCTTGACTGGAGGTTTTTAAAATGTTGAGAATCCATAGTGCTTTAGCAGGAGTGTCCTTTGGACATATAAAGCACAGTGTGAAGGACTGACAGTGTTGGAACATAAACAGATTTTGCTCCATAACAGGAGTCTTACCCTAACCTTAATCAAACTCCTGGATTTTGGGCCTTACAAATACATAAAACAAGAACACACACACACACACACACACACACACACACACACTTCAAAAATCATCTCAGATAAAGTAACATGTATAAATAATGCTTTTATCAGAATCAGAATCAACTTTATTGGCCAGGTGTGTCAGACACACGAGGAATTTGACTCTGGTACAACAGCTCTCAATGTGCATGCACATATCACCATGCAAGGGGCAAGTAAACAGTAAACCAACATAAGGCTAGTATATCAAAATAAGCAGTATTAACAAGCAACAAACAATGCAAACAATGCAAAATAAGCAGTTTAAACAGGCAGTAAACAATGCAGACAGACAAAGAAATGTTCATTGAAATGAGATAAATAGGAATAAAACCAGAGACCTGGACGGATCTGTATAATCTGTATGAGGCATATTTACAGGTATTGCACTGAGGGTTATTGTCCAGTCATACTGTCGTGGGTCAAGTGTTCATCAGAGTGATGGCCTGGGGGAAGAAACTGTCCCTGTGCCTGGTTGTCTTGGTGCACAGTGACCTGTAACGCCGTCCAGAGGGGAGGAGTTCAAACAGATTATGTCCTGGGTGTGAGGGGTCAACAGTGATCCTCTCCACCCTCCTTTTGAGGTTTATTTGATTGATTTGTTTATTTGATTGTTCATGAGGAATGCTAATGTTAGCATCTTATTAACCAGACTCATCACACTAATAAGTCCACATTTAGCGCTAGTGTAAATTTTCCAAACAGAAGCAGCTGCTAAATGATGAAGTTGGCTGTAAGCTAGTTAACACCAAATGTAAGTTTGTCCCAGACATGACTGTCCTTTTTTATCAGATGTCGGCGGTAAGAAGAGGCCTTTAAAGCCCCCAAAATGAATTAGCTAGCAGACAATAAGAGCCATAAAACACAGCAGAATATCAAATGTTTCCTAATCCAGCCTTTGTCAGGCAGAGCTGAGATGGGGGACTTTAAAATGAAAGCCCACCTGGCTAAATGAATAGCCAATGTTGTCAGGGTTGAGAAGAGTCAGTCGGCTGTGAGGATGCCGTATAATACAGCATCTGTCAGTGCTGACAAGTCTCAGAAACACACACCTCTAATCTCAACCCTCTTTTCTGCTTCCCCTCAACCATAACACACAGAAAAAATGACACCCTTCGCAAATATTAAACATCTTCCGAGGCCTATTCCAACATCTTTTTTTAACACAGTTTTACCCCCCTCCCCCTTCAATGCTCTTTCCATATTTCTCTCCCATCTTGTCTTGTCCTTGTCTCCTCAGAAGCCCTGGCAGCCGGATCATCTCCGTCTCTTAGTGTCAATTAAAAGTGAAATATCTGCATTTGTCAACACATCATTTGTGGTGGGCCCGTGATGCACTGCTGATTTGTCGGGCGATTTCTG